GTGGAGCGGGTGGCAGGTGGGACAGCCCAGCTCTCGACATCTCAGCGTAGGTGAGGGAGGCCAGGGCAGTCGGGACATTTAAATGCAAAGCCAGTCCTACGGCTAGGCGGGCGAGGGTCAGCGGGACGGGCCCCCGCGCAGGCAGGGAAGGAGGCATGCAGCTGATTACCGCTGGGCCGAACTTGGCCCCACACCGCATCTCTGCTCTCTGCAGGGGAGCGGCCGTTTCCTGCCCTGGACCAGCCGCACAGGAGAGCGAGAACCCCAGTCCCTGCCTGGGGTACCGCTGGGAAACGGGCTCTGATGTCGGAAAGGGGAGTGGTTCTCCAGCTCGTGCCACAGGCTTTTCTGACTCCACCTCAGTGTTAACCATGGGAACAGCCAGATGGGTCCTCGTGTCCACTGTTCCCACCTCCAGGGGCCCCCACACAGCAACCTGGTGTTCTCATCCACTTGGTGGCAACTGATGGCCTTGGCCGCATCCCCCCTGCTGTGGCCATCCCCACATCTGCTGCAGAACCACGTCCCCCCTGCTGTGACCATCCCCGCATCTGCTGCAGAAATGCTTCTGTTGGGATGAGGGGCGAGACACACGCCTCCCCGGGAGGGCTGGACAGCAACCCGGCTCTGCAGCTCCCAGGCAATCCAAAGCATCCCAAAGCCTGGAGCCTGTGAGGGCCGAGGGCTTCGGACAGCAGGCAGAGACCTCTGGCAGGTGAGTTCACCACACAGTGGGTGGGAGGGCAGGCAGAGCGGGTGGGTCAGTGCTGGGCGACCAGGAGGTGAGCTGGGAGCAGGGTCCCCCATGCCCCATGGCACGGCCTCCGCGTCCGCCCAGGCCCAGCATGTGCCCAGCCCCCGGGCTGCTCTTTGTACAGGGTCTGCTTTGCAGGCTCTGGCCAGGCCAGTTTACGCAGGACTTCACTCCCAAATGCCAGCTTGCTTCCTAGCCAGAAACACGCATCGGGGGGACATTCGCTGGCCTGGTGAGCGGGATATGGCCCCGTCAGCACCACCATTTGGGGGTCTCCTTATGCTTTTCAGACTGGTGATGTTGCTCACTCACTGTGGAACACCCTAGCTCAGTACTGACCAAGACCAGCTGCGGGGAACTGGCTGCTTCTCAGAGAAGCCCTTTTTGGAAGCCAGGAGAGGCCTAGGCACACAGGAGGGCGGGCAGGGGTACCGGCACCTTAACTCCGCATTGAAATCTGCAGGGATGGCCGTGTTGCTGCAAAGCCTCTCTTCCCTATTGCTCCTTTTACTTCCTTCAGTCTCCAAAAAAGGGGAGGGAAACTTCAAGATGGGGAAAACCCGCCCAGGAAACATGACTCTCTCCAGACCAAGCGCAGCCGGGCCCCTGGGTCCATGGGGCGGCCACCGTTACAAGGAATCACTGGCAGGGCTGTGGTCACCGCCATGTTCGCGGCACCTGACGGCGCCGTGCCACCCAGCTCACTGTGTTTCTGACGGGACATGATCAGGCCTACGGGACACATAATGCGGCATCGCTAAGGAGTGAAAGGAAAGGAGTCCCGCTAAACCCCTGCAGCCATATCCTGAGAATGAGAATTTTGCTCCAAAGAATTTCGTTCATTCTGTTCTGCCCAGAAGAGTCTCCAGTCCCGCAAATAGAAAATTCTGAGGGCCGCGTCTGTGAGTTAAGCATCGATGTTGGCAAGAAGGAACTCATAAGTGAGGATGAGGACGCACGTGACCAGAGACGACGGCTTCACCACACAGACCCACCCAGGGCTTCTTAAGCGCGACACGGCGACGTCCCGAGCTGGACTCCTGTTACGGAGCCCACGCCCCTGTGCTCGGAGGGAGGTCCCACAGCGTCCCTGGGCTCCAGCCCCAGAGGCTAAGCCGCCCTGGACTTGGTGAACATCGCCTGGGGCAACATCACCCAAATTTTGTGAATGGAAGGAGCCATTGGATGCTGGAGCCATCTACGGAGCTCAAACCAAAATGCTGCCCAGGGCCACAGTGAGTCTCCAGTAACAGACGGTGTGGCTGGACAGGGAACAGACTCTCACTCCCAGGCGTCTTCAGCCTCCGACGACTTCAGGACAGTGACCCAGGTCGGGTCGCCTCGTGCCCTCACTTCCTGAGGACGCCACCAGCCCCTGTTCTTCTATGGCCAAGAGCCCAGTTCAGTCCCAAATTCAAGCCTTCTCAGGATCCACCCCGTCTGGCCATCAGTAAACAGGGCTCTGGAGAAAACAGCCACTGTGTTCTCATCTCTGCCCCCTCCCTGCGGGGTCCACAGAGGGACCCTGAGCGGCCTCCTCTCCCCTGCCCCAGCTCCCGAGCGGCTGCAGCCTTTGCCAAGGTGACCTCAGCCAGCTGGCGTCACGTGCCCATCACAAGATTAGAACCACAGCACCCCCAAGACAGCCTCGCTCCTGGGAGCTGAGCAGTAGACCGGACCGAGGACGCACGCACGCACTTACCAAGGTGGCTGTGCCCAGCGGACAGGAGGCTCGACTAACCACACGTTCCGGCTCTTTCTCAGACACTGTAATCAGTTAACTCAAGGCCCAGTGCGGTAGCTCATCCCCAAACCCCCGGTGCTTTGAGAGGCCAAGACAGGAAGACTGCTTGAACCAGAGTCTGAGACCAGCATGGGCAACACAGGGAGACTCTGTCTCTAAAGAATACAAAAGACTAGCTGGGCATGGTGGCACGCAGCTTTAACCCGGCCACTCAGGAGGCTGAGGTGGGAGGATCACCTAAGCCTGGGAGGTGGAGGCTGCAGTGAATCATGGTTGTGTCACTGCACTCCAGCTTGGGAAACAGAGGCCCTGTCTCCAAAAAACTGTTTAACCTAACTTTGAGAAACCTGAATGAAAAATCGAATTAAAAGAAAAAAAAATTGAATAAAAAAATCAATCCCATAATCCTTCTAAGAAAAGTAAGAGTGGATGGGACCCATCCTTTTTGGGGTGTTTTTGCCCCTGGTACTTCAGTTTTCAAATTTTGACCCTACACATTTGGTATATATTTATAATCTAAAAAAAAGTTATTTACAGCAGAGGACTCCGGAATTAAAGAGAGATTATTTTCTTCATGCCTGAAAGTACCCATCACATACTCATCACATTCCGCTTTGTGTGGAAATAAACTTGAAAATAAAAAGTCACAGGGAGGTCAACGCCAGCCTCGTCCTGCATCTTCAGACCTGCCCTCGAAATGCAGTGACAGCTCGCAAATTTTCCACCCATCCTCTTTGGACAAGTTCCAGTTAGGTAATAATTAGGGAAAAAGGATGCTTCCATCCCTTCCATTACACACGCAACTTTCACAGACCCCAAAATCTAGGTAAGGCCAGTAAAAAAGCAGCAGAAGCAATGATGGAATCCACCCTGTGAAAGACGCTCATCTTCACATTCACAGCGGGAAGGTCAGCCCAGAGCCGGGCTGGCCCAGCAGCAGCAGCAAACTGCACCACTCATCACCAGGCGAGCAGAAGCCATGTCTAGGTCAAAGATTAGTGACTGCTAAAAAGAGGGTGAAAGGGACCCCAAAGCCAGTGAACACAGGAAGCCCTGGGCAACTTTCTTTCGTAAAGAAAGTGAAGAAAGTTTAAGATGCTCAGAAAAGCAAGAAATGAGTGCTAAGCATTACTTACCATGTGAGTTGTATTTTAAAAGCTTGGTTTTTTATTTACCAGTGCTAGAAATAAGTTTCATGCCAAAGATTGCAGAAAAAGAAAAAAAACTTTGAAAAATATTCATGCAAACCCAAGTCTCACAAGAAAAAACTTGAGACATGCTGAAAAATTTTAGACATCAAATTTGTAAAAAACAAAATGCTTTCTTTGTTAGATATAGATCTTCAAACTCCCATATGAATTACCAAGTGTGACTCACACACATGGTAACAGGAGTATATTTCTTTTACCCTGGCATGGTGGCACGCACCTGTGGTCCCAGGTACTTGGAAGACTGAGGTAGGAGGATCACCTGAGCCCAGGAGGTTGAGGGTGCAGTGAGCTGAGATCACACCACTGCAGTCAAGCCTGGGTGACAGTGTAAGACCCTGTGTCTCAAATATAAATATATTTATTTCTGTTTTATTATTGTTTCTTGGCAAAAAATAGAATGAAAGAAAAGAAACCCAACTAAACTAGCCCCAGTACTACCGCAGATGTAATTTAACATCCCCAGTTTATAAAGGGGAAAGTGAGGTCAACAGCCAAGATCAAAGAGGTAAAATGCAACCGCGCATTCAGGACAATGAATAAAATTATGAAATATTCAGTTCCATTTCTACCCTCAGGCTCAAGACAGGGGTTCATCACAGCGGGTATTGGAAGCACAAAGGAAATTTAGGCCCAGCACAGAAACACACAAAACACAGAGCAAGTTTTAATGCGGGGCCATCTCCGGAGACGGCACTCAGAGCTCCTCGGGGCTACAGGTGCTCACGGGCACTCCCTGAGTCTCGGCCACGCGACATACCCCTGCTGGCCACACAGAGGAAGAGGTGGTAAAGTTTTTGGGAATGAGATAAAAAAAATTTCAGTCTGAAAAGATCCTTTTCTAGGTGGGTAAAAAAAAAGAATGATGAAGCTCTCATTAAGGTTATTTGTATGTATTTTTTTGAGACGGAGTCTTGCTCTGTCGTCAGGCTGGAGTGCAGTGGCATGATCTCGGCTCACTGCAACCTCTGCCTCCCAGATTCAAGTGATTCTCCTGCCTCAGCTTCCTGAGTAGCTAGAACTACAAGCTCGAGCCACCACACCCAGCTATTTTTTTTGTATTTTTAGTAGAGACAGGGTTTCACCTTGTTGGTCAGGCTGGTCTCGAACTCCTGACCTCTTGATCCACCCGCCTCAGCCTCCCAAAGTGCTGGGATTACAGGTGTAAAGCCCCACACCCGGCATTCAGAGTATTTGTAAAAGGCCGTTTCTAGCACACTGGTAGATAAAAAGGGCTGGGGCCCTGGGGTTAGCGTCAGCCGGCGCCTGCCTCGCGGTGCGCGTGCAGACTTACGTCGGTGATAGTATTCAGAGCTGTGTCTGCCCCAATGCTGAAATCGGAACCGGGCACATTGTTGGACACAGTGGCGGGAACCATGACCATGGGGACACAGAATTCCTCGTGCTTCTCCCGGGCGGCTGACAGCTCCAGGAGTCCCAGGTAGGCCTGTCAGACAAGCATGGGAATTGTGGGGCGAGAGGGAAGCGGGGGAGGCGGGTCTTGCTGGGAGAGCCTCAGGGGTGGGCCAGCCACCTCCACCGCAGCACACAGGGAGCACTGGGGTGGTACGAAGCCACTACAAGATCAACACAAAGTCGCGTCAAGACCACACACGAGGACCAGCAGGTTCTAGGCACAAAGGGAGCAGGACACAGTTGGTTAGAGGACTAACCCCCTCATGCATGGGCAGAGTCTGCTTTCTGAGGTTCGTTCTTTTTTTTTTTTTTTCGAGACTGAGTCTTGCCATTGCCCAGGCTGGAGTGCAGTAGCGCAATCTCAGCTCACTGCAACCTCTGCCTCCTGGGTTCAAGTGATTCTCCTGCCTCAGCCTCCCCAGTAGCTGGGATTATAGGCGCCTGCCACCACGCCCGGCTAATTTTTGCATTTTTAGTAGAGATGGGATTTCTCCATGTTGGCCAGGCTGGTCTCCTGACCTCAGGTGATCTGCCTGCCTCGGCCTCCCAAAGGGTTGGGATTACGGGCGTGAGCCAGCATGCCCGGCGGGCTCTTACTTTTTCTAAAAGTAAGCAGAAAGGTTACCACGGGACTAATCTTCAATGAATCGAAAAAAAAAAAATAGTGTCTACAGTCCAATATGTGATTTTAAACAAAATTCTAGGTATAACTACCTTACTCTCTCAGTAGTCACTGGACTCTGAATTCAAGAGACAGACTTACTTCCAGAGACCTGAAATTCATCAAGAGCTCACTGAACAGAGGAGTCCCAGTTCAGGGCTCAAGCTTTTGCTTCTCGGTTAAGTTGCTTCATTGGAACTAGATCACTTGTAGGCCATGTCTTACCACCGACTATTCTTCCATTCTGCAATTCTGCAGTGGCAGCTGGGTCTGGGAACCTGTCACCTCAGACCGTGGCCCGTAGCGAACACGTAGCTTAATGTGTAGCCAACACAGGGCACGGCTCACACCTGCGGGGCACGGCTCACACCTGCGGGACTGACAAGCGGGTTGGGAGAGGCACACTAAGGAACGTACCTCGAATCCCCCGATGATCAGCAGCGCGTTGATGCAGTGCATGCGCATCTGCATGGCGATCTCCTCCAAGCACTTCCCCGGGAGAGCGCTGAAAATGGCCACATTGAGAATGACGTCAGACACCCCAAGCTCCAGGCAGTCCTCAGGACATCACGCCGGGAACCCTGGGAAACCGTGCTGGTCCCCACTCGGCCTCCCTCCCCAGCGTGCGGTTGTAAGGAGCGGGGAACGCTTGCTCGTGCCACTGTGGCTGGTAGACGGCAGAATGACCGGGAATCTGATCTCAAAACAGTGTTTTCATGAGAAAATGAAACACAGCATTTCAGCTGATACCTCGCCCTAAAAAGAACTCTACTGCCCCACTAGGAAAATAATAATAGCCTATAATTATTAACAATTGTTTGAATAGAAATGTCCACTTTCCAAATAACTTACACATGCATTATCCACTACTGATCTCATTTAAAATCGTATCTGCTCATACCTGCTCTTCCTCCCCCGTGCTATCCCCAGTGTCACATGACATGGCCAGGAAGTCCAACACCAGACCGTGCCCCTCCTGAGATCCCATCCCAAACCGGCCCGAAGCTTCCGACTGGAGAAAGCCCTTGTATACTCTTGGTAGATTTGTAAGACGTTGCGGGGCAAAAACGTTCAGGCAGTCGGAGCACACCAGTGGACGCAGCTAACTGCAAAACTGCACCGCCCCTAACGTGAGGTTTCTTAAGCCTCTGCGGGACCAGCCTAGAACAGCCGGTGAGTCTGCTCTAGGTTTTCGAGAGCAGCACCCTGGCCAGCAGCCCCAGGATGCACATTGAGGGATGCACCTGCCTCTAGTTAGAGCTTTCCTGTCCAGGGCACCGGCACGCGGGGCTCATGGGAACAGCCAGGAGGCAGCTGTAGAGCTAACCCTGCTCTGTGGCTCCCTGCCAGTGGCTGGGAGTACCAGGGCCCCAGCTGTAAAGCAAAGCAAAGGGGGCAGCTAACTCCCTTGGAACAAAAAGCCAGAATTATGAGGAATCCGTCATTTATTTTCTCTGCCAAAAACTACCTCCCTTCCACATTAGAATATTTAATCTGTAGTGATGACAGATATTAATATTTGTACCCCTGACATGATCGAAGATGAGAAGAACTTAAGACTTCATCTATATTAGAAAACCCCATCATCCCCAGCAATGCAGGGACGTGGAGGCTTACTGTGGGTCAGAAAAAGACAGTTTAGACTAGAATTCCTTGGGTCCCTTCTTGGGCTGTGGAAATCAGAGTCTTGAGTCACAGCTGCTCAGGGCAGCTGTTCCCACCAATACCGCCCGCTCCCAAGACTGCTCTGGCTTTGCTTAGAGTGCGTCCCCAGGCTCCGTGGCCCCTCTTGTGTTTGGAGGCAGAGTCTCACTCTGTTGCCCAGGCTGGAGTGCAGTAGCACAGTCTCAGCTCACTGCAACCTCTGCCTTCTGGGTTCAAGCAATTCTCCTGCCTCAGCCACCCAAGTAGCTGGGATTACAGGCGCACACCGCCACACCCGGCTAATTTTTTGTATTTTAGTAGAGATGGGGTTTCCCACATTGCCCAGGCTGGTCTCAAACTCCTGATCTCAGGCGATCTGCCTGTTTCAGCCTCTCAAAGTGCTAGGATGACAGGCGTGAGCCACCACGACCCCCTCACCTTTACTGACCTCCATGGGGAGGTTTGGGCCCACCAGCTGGCCCTTCAAATGAACTGAAATACCAGTGAGAAGAAGGCGTTCACCAGGTACCTCCTCATCTCTCCCAAGCCCTGGGATGCACCCCCAGCTTCCTGCAGCATGAACAGTTCCACTGGAGGGAGGAGGGATAATGCCTGCTCCCATCCTTTAGGAACATCTTTATAGAATTGAAAGTTGAGGGGTGTTGACACCCAGCGACTCTCCTCCAGGGCACGGCTCTTCCTTCTTCCTTAAAAGCAGGTCGGAGAGTTGAGATTTGGCACTCACCGTTTAGTGCCGAGAATGGAGCCTCCCTGGCCAGTCCAGCCCCCGACATCCGTCCAGCCGATTTCTTTGATCTAATGTGCAAACACAGAATGAAACAGCTAAAGTGAACAAAAAAAGCAAGTTAGAAGAAGGTGCTAAAAATAGCTTTCTGTGCTTTTCAGCAGGCTGCATTCCTGTAAAGATTCGTGAGCCATATGAGACAGCTCTTAGAGCGAAGAGCAGAGTCCGAAGTGAGCGGCTGCTTCCTGCCTGTCAGGGCCTCTGCAGCTCACCCCCAGCCACGTGAGGTTCGCCAGCTCCCCAAATCCCGCCACTGGCCAGTAAAAGAAAAGTAACATGGTTTCTAAATTGGTAAAAGATTAAGGGAAAATTTCTTTTCTTACAAACTAGGGAGAAAAATAAGAAAACAGATTACTAAGCAAACTAAGGTAAGCATAGGCCTCGGGAGGAGAACTCGCAGGGCTTGCACCCCAGCTCCACAGCTTGATGACGAGATTCTGGGTAAGTTCACAGATTTGGTGGACGCACTGCGATGCTGCATTGCAACCTCCAGGTAAATTACGTCACAAAAAAGATCATTCTATATCAAAAGGTAAATATTGTATAAGGTGTAAACACACACGCGTGCACACGCACACACGTGATCTAAAATAAAGAGCTCCAAGTTGACAGAACCATATAAATCAGTTTTGAAGGCAGCATTTCTCTCAAGTAAATAGCCGTTTTAGGCCCATTCATCTTCACAGGCCTGAACAAGAAAGGCAGGGAAGCAGAATCCACCCGGGACAGAACAGTTCCTCATCCGGTTCTTGCTGCCGAGACGTGGGTGGCTGGGCCAGTGGAGAAAGGGGATCACCAGTGGTGGAAGGTGGGTCGGAGGTTCCCAGGGACGCTGGCGGGCATCTATACCCCACCTGCCTGCACTCCTCAGTCTCCTGGGCGGGGATCTCCTCCTTCCCACCCTACTCTTTTTCTTTTTTCGAGATGGAGTCCCACTCACACACCTTCACCCCGGCATCCCCAGTCTCGTCCTCAGCTGGGGACACACCCCTTCACCCCGGCATCTCCAGTCCCGTCCTCAGCCGAGGGACACAGCCCTTCACCCCGGCATCCCCAGTCCCATCCTCAGCCGGGGACACGCCCTTCACCCCGGCATCCCCAGTCCCGTCTCCACCCGAGGGACACAGCCCTTCACCCCGGCATCGTGAGCCTCCCCTCCTCATCCTTCCTGCATGTAGCGCATCTCAGGGCTTCCTAGGCCCTGTAAGTTGCAACTCTATCCCTTCCACCTGCTCGGTCCAGGAATGGATTGATTCTTGCCTCCTCCGTTTTTACCTGTATGGACTCAGCAAGCAAATCCCTCCCGACCCTTGAAGGTGTGTTGCCATCCGATGGTGGCCAGTCTGGACCACGCCACCTCTTGCTGGGTGACTGCAAAGCCTGGATGGAAGCCCTGCCTCCTTTCTGCCTTGATGAATGCAGAGGGTCCCTTTAGAAAGCTCTTGGTATGGGCCAATCCCTGCTCAGGACCCTCAGATCTCATGTAACGTAAAAGCCAACCTCCTGAGGCTGCCCACAAGGAACCAGTCCGCTCCTATGTTTCCATCCTCACTGCCCCGCACTGGTTTGGAGTCCCCCATCCCTGTGAGCATCAGCTCCAGGGTGTCCTTTCCCCCAGCCTGGGTGAGTGTACCCCAGGTCCACATGAGCCACCCGCTCATCTGATCTACAGTCTGGGAGCACCTTCCCCAGTGTGGCTGTGTGGGGTCTCTGGCCGGCTCTCCTCGGGTGCCTCTGAGCACTGCACACTGTCCAGAGAGCAGGGGGGTCCTCACTCACTGTCCTCTCCCCCTCTATAACCCAATCTGCATGGAACCAGAGACTTGTGTCTCCTTTGCTCACTCATTTCTTCAGCGTAATAATTTCACAAAGTAGGAAGCCAGGAGAAGTGGCTCATGCCTGTAATCCCAGCACTTCGGGAGGCCGAGTTGTACGGATCACCTGAGGTCAGGAGTTCAAGACCAGCCTGGTCAACATGGTGAAACCCCATCTGTACTAAAAATACAGCTGGGTGTGGTGGCGCGTGCCTATAATCCCAGCTACTCAGGAGGCTGAGGCAGGAGAATCGCTTGAACCCAGGAGGCGGAGGTTGCAGTGAGCCGAGATCGCGCCACTGCACTCCAGCCTGGACAACAGAGAAAGATTCTGTCTCAAAAAAAAAAATTTCAGGAAGTAGGTATTTGTTGGTTCGTCCGATAAACAGCAACAGTGCAGCCCCTGGTTAGGGGCCAAATCCGGTTTCCTGTCCTGCCTCTTCCCCCAGCCCATCGGCATCTCTGCGCCTCAGTTTTCTCGTAAGGAAAATGGGGATAACATCCTAGATTTCATGTGAGGCGTAAGTGAACGAGCACGTGTAGATCGCACCGAGTAAGCGGACAGGTGGCACTCACGGCGTTCCCTGGCGTGTCATTTAAGTGGGCGCTTGCACACACCTCACGCTGACCTTTTTGCCTCCAGCGCCCATTTGAAACCAGCCACAGCCTCCAAGGCGACGTCACCACCCTTCTCACCCAGTATCGGGGCCATCAGACCCCGGAGGCACCGCTTTTGAAAATCACCTCATACCCAGGGCTCCCGCAGAGGGCCTAAAACCTACCCGAGGCTGGGATTTTACCGCAGAAACAAGGTGTCGGATAAGCAGTCACTCAGTCCCAATGTCACAGGGTCCTAGACTGAAACCTGCAAAGGTGTGAGGGCCATGGAGGGGCCTCCCCACATCTGCCACAGTCAGACGCCCGCCTGCGGCCTCCTGGGTGACTCACCTGGCCTTTGGCAAAGCCGTCAAAGCCGTCGTAGATGGCAAGCATCCTGTGGCCGTCGGCGATGCCCACGCGCACGGCCGAGCGCACGGCGGCGTTCATTCCAGCCGCGGGGGCCCCCACGTTGATGACAGCCACGTTGCAATTGGTCTGCAAGACAGAAGGTGGGCGGGAGCCGGGCACGGGTGCACGCAAGCTCCATTTGTGGCATACCTTGGCCGCGGTCCACGCTGTGCCAGGCCAGAAAACAGGTGGCCTCATTCAGAGAGGCAGAGGCCACGAGGGGAGTCCCACGGGAGAGGTCGGGGAGCAGAAGAAAGGCCGGGGCATCACGGGAGGCCGGCCGCCTACCTTTGGGATCTGATCATCTGGCAGCTTGATGGCAAGTCGCTTGTAGGTGTTCAGGTTGCCCGCAAAGCTCCTAGAGGAGGAGGATGTGGTCAGATCAGAGTCAGGTACACGGGACACCACAGTCGGGTACGTGGGGCTCGTGTGAGAAAAGGCGGCTTCTCCGCCGGCACTCCGTGTGTCTGCCAGCTATCTGGGCAGGAGGAGGCACCAGGATGCCCCGCAGAGCCCCTGACTGGGACCCACAGTGCCGTCCACATCTCGTGTGGAAATGGATTTAGGGAAAAGGGCACGCTTCTACACTTCAGAATGTTCTCTTGCAAAACATGGGCCATGGCCAGGTGCAGTGGCTCAGGCCTGGAATCCCAGCTCTTTGGGAGGCTGAGATGGGTGGATCACTTGAGGTCAGAAGTTCGAGACCAGCCTGATCAACAGGTGAAAACACTGTCTCTACTAAAAATACAAAAATTAGCCAGGCATGATAGATAGATTGCTTGAACCTGGGAGGCGGAGGTTGCAGTGAGCTGAGATTATGACATTGCACTCCATCCTGGACAACAGGAGACTGTCTTAAAAAAACAAACCAACAAATGTGGGCTACGAGTCACATTGTGCCTCACTCTCATTAGCTCCTAAACAACCGCTACCTTGCTGAAAAGGACCAATGGCAAATTCAGAAAATGACTTCCCTCTAACCCGTCGCCAGGCCTGCTATGGCAGAAGTGGGGCTGTGAGTACCGTCCGGCCTTCTGAGTTTTCACGTTCACGTGGAACGAGCATAACCCCTGGCACATCTGTGGTGGCCAGGCCTGGGGACATGCTCCTGGCAGAGCAGGGCTCTCGCCAAAGCACTCACTTTCCCCGGAGTCGAACCGCGTCCTGAAACCTCCTCTCATCCATCGCCTTCTGCACATCCTGAGTCTTTTAAAACAATAACGAAAAGAAGAAAGAATGTGTCAGGACCTGGTACAGTGGATGAGGTGGGTGGAGGCTCGTTCGGTCCTTCCCGCTGGCCGCCTCCAGTCTAAGGCAGGCAGCCGGCAGCCCCAGGGTTAATGGTCTAGGCCACCAGCCGCCAAGTGTGTCCTGATGCTGGTGGGCACCTGGCCCCTCACTGCCCAGCTGTGAGGTCACAGCCCCTGGGTCTGCCTAGCTCAGGAGGCTTCTGAGAACAAAAGCGGAGGCATCACCTGCTGTCTGTGGACCTAAGATTGTGAAGATTTTACTCTAAGAGAACAAAGCCAGAGAAAATGAAATCTCTCAGGCATGGTTCTGAGGGATCCTCGATTTGATTATGGCGGGGAAACCAAAACAAAACACACCAGCTCACTGGGGGATGTGGGCAGAAGGGAGGTCACAGCAGGCAGGGAGCAGAGAGTCCCAGATGCCCTGTCTGGGACACGCAGCTGGGACTGACACACACCGGGCAACCCCAGGCAATGTCAGGATCTCAGGCAAGTTCTTTCTCACTCTGAACTTCAATTTCCTCATCTGTAAGATGAGAAAAACACCCCTACTTCCAGCAACATCTAAGGTTACTCAAACATGTCAGACCCTCAGGAAGACACCGGACAAACAGCAGGTGCACAGCAGTGGCTCCCTCGGCTTCAACAACAAAGCCACATAAGGGTGGTTTCAAGGTCAGGGCAAGTTTCGCCTACAGCGATCCTCTCTAGACAAGCAGAGACACGAGACACAGGCTCAAAATACATGTACTGCATGTAGTTCAGTGCTCTGAGCCTTTGAAGCCTACTGTCTGTCACATGCATATACACCCACACACTAACATGCAGACACACAATGCCTCACTCACACACACACACACATGCAGATACACATACATGTACAGGCAGACACTACCTCACACACGTGCATACATGCATACGAACATACATCCACACACCGATATGCAGACACACAATGCCTCACAAACATGCAGATAAACATACATGCACAAACATGCAGACGTATGACCTCACAAACATGAGCATGCATGTACATAAACATACATGCACACTCTAACATGCAGACACACGACCTCAAACATGCATACTCATGTATATAAACATAAATGCACATACACTAGCATGCAGACACAATACCTCACACTCACAAAAATGCATACCCATGTATATTAACATACATGCACACACACATACAGACATACCTCAGAAACATGCACACATGCATATAAACATGTACACAAGCGTGTGTACATGCATTTACAGACACGTGCACACACATCTACATACATACGCACACATTCACACACATACAAATACTATCTTCTCCCTTGGGCTTTTGGAAATTATGTTTCCAACGTGACCTTCAACAAGCCCCTTGACTGAATTGCTTCATGGCTTCTTTGTGTTGTGATAAGAAGCATTCACTTCACCTCGGGGTCACTGGAAAGACCCAGCAAAGCAGGAGTCAGGAATGAACTTCGAAAAATAAAACAACTTTGAATGCAGCTGACCGCACAGCCACCTCCACTACTGAACCATGACTGAAAACCAGCACTGCCTTTTCCTTTCATTTGCTTGCAGGCCATTCCCTGGCCTGAAAAGGGTCGGTGTATCTTTGGGTGACCAGAAGCCATCCCCGTGTCCCACCACAGACCTGAATGTCCTTGGGGACAGGAGGACAGGAAGTGGCTGAATCTGGAGAGGTTTGGGAAGGTCCCACCTTTAGAAAATGCCGCCTGACGGCTCTCCTGTGGCCGCCTCCCTACCCGTGGTCCTCCTGCAGCGCCTGGTTGCACCAGGGTCACCTGAATCCTCTTGGACTGTTGAGGATCCTGGCACTCTGACCTCTCATGGGAGGTTACGACTACATGCCACACGGTCAGTAACTTAGAAAACCAGAGCGCGAAGATGGCACAAGCTGTCCAAGTGTGGGTGGGAACACCAGCCTGCTCCTACCCACAGGCAGCTCACCCCCTTCGCAGAGGGGCCGTGTAACCCAGCGTTCACCAAATAAGCAGTGGACCAGACACCCAAGGTGCCCCGCCTGGCCTGACAAGCAGCATCTGTCCCCAGCCGCCCACCCCCGCCCTTGGCCACGCGCCGCCCACTCACCATCTGCACGCACTCCATCAGCGGCAGGCGCACAGCGTGGTTCCCGCTGAGAGACACGACGCAAGCTGGCGTGTCGGGGGTGGCCTCCAGCAGGGCGATGACCGCCTCCACTCCCATGCGGCTGGCCTGGAAACCAGGTCCCCGTGGGTCAGGAGCGGCCCCCGCCCTGCCCCGTCCCTGCCACCTCCTGCCCTCTTTCCATGACCTCCAACCCTTTCGGTCAGGCGCCCACAGCCCTCCCCATTTCCAGCCCAACTCTTTAGAAAAGCAGTTTCCATTCCTTTAGAACTGGCAAGACGGGAGCAGAGCGGGGGTCAGGGCCAGATGGAGAGCCTTCCTGCCCTGGGGTTGCGCCCTCTGGGGTCTGTTAGGGAGCTGTCCTGGCATCTAGATGGCTGCAGGCCTAGAGACTGTCCTCCCCCAACAAAGGTCTCAAGGATCGTTAGGAGGAGGTGCAGGCCGCTGGCATCTCCTGGGGCGCATCTCACCACGGTGGTCCGAAACCCTCCCTCCCAGAGACCTTGTCAACACGCCCAACCCTTCCACCCTCACCAAGATCCTGTCGAACGCCGAAGGGGTCCCTCCTCTCTGCACGTGCCCGAGGATGGTCACGCGTGTGTCGTAGCCCAGCTGCGTGACGACGAGCTGCAAGGAAATGTGTCGTTAGGACACGGAACCGAGACGCAGATGCAGCAGCCCAGACCTGGAAGCAGGTGCCAGCCACTGAGAAAGGGTCTGTGTTCTTTCCGCAGCTCTAGGTGGGAAAAAGCACTTCTAGATTTTGTTTCCTAGCAGAACATTGAGTTTAACAGGCAGCTGAAGCTTGTTTTTATAAATTATAATACTTTTGTTACCAAAATCTTTGCTTGCACCCAGAAAATGAATACAAGTGACATGCTCGTTGTTTAAAAAGAAGTCAGTGGTTGGCATTTAAACTATTACTTCTATTTTACAAAAATGTCAACCTCTTCCTTTAACCACCTTAAACGTGTTCCGCTGTGATTTCAACAGCCACCCCGTACAATCAAGGTGCTCCCCTCGTCCCAGCCAATGGGCACGCCACCCTGGGGACCAGACAGGCCCCTGAATGTCTCTGAACTCAGCCTACTCCTCTTAAGAACAGTGGGGCTGGGCTACGTGAATTCCATGCTTCCTTCTTGGTCCAGTGTTCTATAATTGAATCACAATTAACTGGGAAATGAAATCTTTGCCTTGAGTTTATGGATTACTTTTTTTTTTTTTTTTCTTTTTGAGACAGAGTCTCACTCTGTCAACAGGCTGGAGTGCAGTGACACCATCTGAGCTCACTGCAACCTCTGCCTCCTGGGTTCAAGAGATTCTCCTGCCTAAGCCTCCCGAGTAGCTGGGACTACAGGCGCACACCATCACATCCAGCTAATTTTGTATTTTTAGTGGAGACGAGGTTTCACCATGTTGGTCAGGCTGGTCTCAAATTCCTGACCTCGTGATCCACCCTCCTCAGCCTCCCAAAGCGCTGGGATTACAGGTGTGAGCCACTGCGCCCGGCCTATGGATTACTTCTTGTAAATATTGGCAGATGTCTTTCCCAGGTGCCTGTCGCTGTTTTCACATCCAGGACGTGTGTGGCTCCTTAACTCATGGTAACAAAGCACAATAAAGAAGCCGACCTGCAAAGCCAGGTGGGGAGTCCTCTCTCCGCAGCCCCGGGAGCCAGAGCCCATCCCCAGCCCCATCTATGGCAGGAGCCCAGCCGATGGCATCAGCGTCCTCTCCAGACGGGTGGGTCCAGCCTGAGCAAGCCCCAGGACACAGAGCCTGCCTGAGCCTGTCCCGTCGGGCCGCGAGGACACAGCGGCTTTGTGAGTAAGAATGTGCTCAGCTGATGCTCTGGGTTATGGGAGGGCATAGGGAAGAGGACGATGCCAGTTTTCCACTGTGGCACACAGAAGCCTGGGGCAGCTGCCAAGCGCTCGGTCCTTGTTCTCAGAGCAGCTCACGTCTAGGAGCCGGAACATTCTAATACAAAGAGCACGCGTGGCCACTCAAGCGACCGCCTGTGTCTGCCGGGGAGTCCCGGAACCTCCAGGGGCACAGGAAGAGGGGACACAAGCGGAATGAGCTCCCAGGAGCGGGCACTGTGTTTCCCAGGCTGTCCTGTTCTGAGTCATTATGAAAACGTTTTTAAATATCAAGGATAAAAAGCTAATAATTCAGTGTTCTAAACCAAGCCTGCCAATGACGCTGACCGCCCCTGCTTCCAGGCAGAAACTGAGGGACAGCCAGCAGCTCCACGCACTCACCTCTTTGATTTTCTCAGAGGTAATGGGTTTATTTTGGGTGTCAATTGCTCCTTCAGCCACAATAATAATATTCAGCCTTTTTTTCCGGGCACGGTTCTGCAGAAACAGAAAATTAGAGACCTCAAATTCCTAATCCTGTTCTTAGCAACAGTGGCAACAAAACCACAGAAGTTTGTCTCAAACTGAACTGGCCTTTCCCAGGCTGGAATGTTCGCCAAACGTCCTAAGAATTGCTTCCCAATGACACCAGAAGGTGGCGAGAGGTGATCTGGGTGGCAGCAGGGAGGGACAGTGGTGAAGAGAGGGGCAGGGGTGCAGGGGAGGGGTCGGGGAGGAGGGGAGGGGCAGGGCAGCTGCGGCTCACTGGAGGAGAGCCCTTTGGGACTGGGCGGCTCACATCATCACCATATAGAAATGTGGCCCAGTCAGCCCCAGGGGATAGTACTTGTGTGATGGATGGGGTCCCCACGGGGAGGGACACAGAGGTGGACGCCCCCCAGGCACCTCATGCATGCTGAGCTTCCTGCCACCTCCCTGTGACCTACTCCTCCCCAGCCATTCCCAGGGGAAGCCCCAACGCCTCGCCACTGGGATGAGGTTGTATTGCACACGGGCTCCAGCAGCGGACACACAGCACAGGCAGTGGGGCTGGCGGCCGCAGCTACACCCGAAAGGCCTCGCACTGCTGGGCCACGGTGCTGCTGTCCCCATCGTCCTTCCTATGCTCATGGCAGTCACACAAACCTAAATAGGTCATGAAAGTGGCACAGCAGCCACTCCACGATGTGGATTATCCTCTCCTCAGTGGATCTGCTTTCCAGAAAGCCCCACATTAAAGACCCTTCCATAGAAAATGGTAGTGGTGGCTGTGTGGAGCCTGGGGCCAGTAGTGCCTGAAGTCCACCTGCCAGAGTCAGGCACACATGGGGCATTGTAACCACACGCACTCTGTCTTAACTGAGACCTCTCCTGCCTTCACTCTCGGCCTTCACAGAGAAGACGTGCCCCACGCTAACAGTCCAAGAGTGAAATATAAAGTGTGACATACTGGAGACAGAGAAACATTTTCACTTGCTCAAAACGCCATCCCACTTGGGATCCTGATTATAGCAAAGCAGCTGGCACCGCCGGCTATCAGCGGCCACAGGACCTGCATTACCTCGGAGAGTTTCACACACATCTGCTCCTCCCAGCCTTCCTCTGGCGGAGATTCTGGAAGGAACACCCAGTCTGCACCGCACGCCAAGGCGCTCACCAGGGCCAGGTACCTACGTGACAAGGCAAGGGCATCAATACTCAGGAGAGAGGAGCCTTCCCATGAGAGAACCCGGGCAGCCGGTCGGCGGCAGACGGGCAGATAGGATGCCGGATACCCAGCGGGCTGAGGCCCCTCCGGGACTCTCCATGGGAATGGAGCATTCATGATGGAGGGGGCAGCCTCGGGGAGGTGGTGCTGAGGGCCCCACCTGAACCGCGTGTACCCACCGCTGACCGCAGGTACGCACCCACAGTGTCGCCCCATCACCTCCAGAACGAAGGTCCTCTGGTGGCTGGAAGAGAAACAGAGGGAGCACCCGCTCAGCCCTGGCACAGCAAGGAAAGCAGAGAGAAGCGGCTTTGACAGCCAGGTCAGCCAGGAGGCCTGCAGGGACTGAGGCTTCAAACATGGTCCATTTCTACAGAAGCAAAGCCTGTGCGGTGGCCCTGCAGACCCCTGCGAGGAACGGGGCTTCAGTCACACTGCGCTTTCCAGCTGCACGTTTCACGCCCCCCGCCCGCCTGGGCCCCGGGCACACTCACGCTCCCCAGCCCTGGGCTCTGCTCTTTCCCAGACCACCTCTCTATGGTTAGTCACGGTCAGTCGGCGGCCACTGTCGAGAGCCACAGCTGGATCCCACACTGAAACCAGTGACTGCAATGTCCCTGCGTTGGTGTGGTTGATGCCCAGAGACCGTGGTCTTCCCAGGGAAAAGGAAAAGTCCAGCTGCTCCAAGCAGCCTTCCCACTCTGTGGGTTTCCAGCAACTGCAGGGGTCATGCCCAGGCACTGAGAATGTGCAATGAGGTGTCACTTGGAATGGGACACCACATACAGAGGCCTGGGAGGCACCGTGCTGGGGGCTAGATTCAGCGCCCCCAGGTTCAAGCGCCTCGTCCTTAAAGGGAAGACACTGATTCTGATTCTATTTACCATTGCACATGGTTTTCATGCAAGGTGCTTCAGAAATTGTACAGCGTCCTACAGAGTTACTGGTGATAACCTGGTGAGCCTAGAGCACCTCGGCTCAGCCGTTGCGGCCCCTCCGCGCTTTGTGAACCGCAGGTTAATAAGCATGGCAGGACATTGCTGGCCGCGTCTCTCACCAGCGGCGTGGAAAATCCACACAAGTCTGCCTTCTGCCATTCCTCAGGGCATGTTCGGGTAGAACACAGATAATAAATTACTTCGTTTCTTCCTTTCAAATTCCAATACACACATTTTTCTTTTATCATCAGGGTAAAAAGGAATGTTTTAAAATTAAAAATGAAAAGCACATCAGAGGACACTTTCCTTGCAACAGTTCCTAAAAGTCAAGTTGCAAGGCCAGCACCAGGACACCCAGCCTGCGGAATGTCCTAGGGCCCGTGCTGCCGTCCAAGCTGGGCACACGTGGGGCCCCCGGCGGCCTCCCGCCAGTTCCTCCGGGCGCCTTACCTCTGGGCTGTGGTCATGATGGCGTCCACCACCTCGATGATCCTGTGCAGGGCCGAGTCTGTGCCAATGGTCATGTCGGTGCCACAGAAGTCATTGTCGATGGAGCCCACCATGCCCACCACGTTGAGGTAGGCATACCTCTGCACGGCTTCCTTCTCAATGTGGCCTGTGTGGGGAGCCAGCAGCCCATTCATCAGCACTGCCACGGCTCATCGGGGGTGCCCACGACGGGTGAGGCAGAATGGCCGTGGCAGAGAAATCAACCATTCTAAACTCTCTGATTTGTTACTGGTGTCATTTATTAACTTTTTTTTTTTTTTTTGAGACAGGGTCTCACTCTGTTGACCACCCTGGAGTGCAGTGGCATGATCATAGCTCACTGCAGCCTTGAACTCCTGGGCTCAGTTAGTCTTCCTGCCTTAGACTCCTGAGAAGCTAGAACTATGCCTGGCTGATTTCTTAAATTTTTTGCAGAGCCAGACCCTATGCTGCCCAAGCTGGTCTTAAACTCCTGGGCCAAGTGATCCTCCTGCTTTGGCCTCCCAAAGTGCTGGGATTATAGGTGTGAACCACTGCCCTGGCCAATTTTTTATTATATTTTCTCAGAACTCTAGGCACCCGGATTCTGCATAGTTGGATTCTGCATAGTTAAGTAAACAGAAGCCAGACAAGGCTAGAAGCAGTTACACACAATGTGTGCTGTCACCTGGCACTGAGACAGAGCAGTGGATTATCAAAGAAAAGGAAGGAGCCAGGTTCGCCATCAGTAAACAAAACCTCAGGATTACCTGGCAGCAGCTTCACAGAGTGGCATGGCTTTGAACAAGCACACGTTACAATTATGGAATTAAGAGTCGAAGACACTAGGTCACCTTCACAGTGACCTCTCATGTATCTGTGGGTAGCTGGGTCCTGGGTGGCGTCTACCCCGCACTCAGGACAGACCTGGACTGGGCAAATCTGCAGAAAGGGACTCCGAGCCATCGAAGGACCAGGGGCAAGCTTAGGCCTGGACTGGTGGCCTCCGCCCCCGCTCTGTGCACGCAGTGGGCTGTGCCAGACCAGGACGAGGTGGGCGAGAGGGAACCCTGAGGCCCGGCTGCTTCCAATGGGCGGCGTTCTCCACCCACTACGCGAATGTTCACAAACCTGCTGACAGCGGCTTTGCCTCATTCAAGGCTGCTGTTAAACACCACGCCTTCGGTCATATTTTATATTGCATCGAAATTACCTAACAACCACTTCAAGAAAGAAAAACTACACTTTGGATGACCTGAGGTCAGGAGTTTGAGACCAGCTTGGCCAATACGGTGAAACCCTGTCTCTACTAAAAATTTAAATAAAAAACAAAACTAATTGGATGTGGTGGTGCATGCCTGTGATCCCAGCTACTGGGGAGGCTGAGGCAGGAGAATCACTTGAACCCAGGAGGCAGAGGTTGCAGTGAGGTGAGATCATGCCACGGTATTCCAGTCTGGGCAACGGAGAGAGACTCTGTGTCAAAACAAACAAAAACCTACATACTCAATAGGGCTCTCAGAAACGCTTTCCTAAGTAGTGTCAAAGGTGATACCGGATAACGTATCAGAAGAGATTTATCATCTAAATAAAGTCCTGTGACAACTTCAGTTTTCAGATATCCCAGCGGGCTGGAGGGATGCTGTGTGTGGGCTGAAAGGCAGATGCTGGTGTCCAGGGCTGGGGGAACCCGCCCTGCCCCAGGGCTGGGTGGCTGTTTGATTCCTCATCTTTAAGTGCAATGATCTAAAAATGTGGCTTAGGTGGCTGTCTCGAGGATTCCATAAAACTATCTATGTGAAAGGTCGAAGAGTGCCTGGCACGTGGTAAGGTTAAATTGACTGCACTTTTTTTTTTTTTTTTTTTTTTTTTGAGATGGAGTTTCGCTCTCATTGCTCAGGCTGGAGTACAATGGTGCAGTCTCGGCTCACTGCAACCCCCACCTCCTGGGTTCAAGCAATTCTCCTACCTCAGCCTCCTGAGTACCTGGGATTACAGGTACCTGCCACCATGCCTGGCTAATTTTTGTATTTTTAGTAGAGACAGGGTTTCTCCATGTTGGTCAGGCTGGTCTCAAACTCCTGACCTCAGGTGACTTGCCTGCCTCAGCCTCCCAAAGTGCTGGGATTGCAGGCATGAGCCACCATGCCTGGTCATTAATAGCATTCTTAAGATCATCACTGTTGTTTTGCTGAGATCATAGAAAGTCCTGAGACGGTAACCTGTAAGATCTGTGACAACAGGTGCTTCTGCCACGGGGAAGGGGAAATGTGTCCGTTCCAAAGCTGTGAAACAGGGCGAAACCCGCAGGACACGGGAGCAGGCGCCCACTCACCGTTCTTGGCCAGCTCCTCCAGCAGCCCGCTCCACTCCTTCCGGAAGAGGTTGGCCCCGGTGAGGCTCCCGTCCCCGCCGATCACACACAGGTTGGTGATGCCACGCTGCACCAGGTTGCAGGCGGCCTTCAGCCGGCCCTCCCTCGTGCGGAAGGCCTGGCACCGCGCGCTGCCGATGATCGTCCCGCCCTGGGAAAGACAACACCGGCTTATCTCCTCTCGGCAGGACGGAAAGCCAGGCGGGTCTCACACACAGGCTGACTGTAGGCACGGGGTGCTGGAGTTTACGTTTCTTCTTTTGCATCTTGTGAGTCAGTAACTAGCTATGGAAGACTGGCATTTTCCTCTTTTGAGTCCCAGACCAGAATTCCGTGGAGAAAGACAGGCGGGTCACACCTGGGAGGAGCCAGGGAAAGTGCAGAGCCAGACACACAGCAGCCCTCAGTTAAATATATGGAGTAGGAAGCAGCCTGCAGTGTCACAGCAGACATCAGTTAAATATATGGAGCAGGAAGCAGCCTGTGCTGTCACAGCAGCCATCGGTTAAATACATGGAGCAGGAAGCAGCCTGCGGTGTCACAGCAGCCATCAGTTAAATATATGGAGCAGGAAGCAGCCTGCAGCATCACAGCAGCCACCCTAGCACCGGCCAACAAGTTCAACTAGGTGCACGTGCAGCAAAAGACGAGTTCACTGGACACCAGAGCCCACCGGCCACGATAAGAGAAGCAGCGGGACCTGCGGCCCGGCTGCGCTCTCCCTCGAGCCACCTCTTACAGCAAGCACAAGTAAAACCAGGAAGAACCTGGGGCCAAGGGGATTTTGTTTTGCACCATATACCCGCTGCCCCTTTTAAAGAGCTAAGTCTTCAGGGACTTAGATTCTGTCATCCAAACTTCCAGGGGACACAGATCATAATTTGTCACACTTGGTTTTCCAAAAACGAAGAATTGTTGATAGAATCAAGAAATGCAGGATTCCTTGAAATAAAGTCATGACTGCACCAATATCGGTCCTGGATCTCTAGGCTCACGCTGACTCCCTCAAGCGAGCTGCTCACAAGCGAAGCAGGGGCCGTCTCCGTGACTGCTGGAGGCAAAGCTCTCACCGGCCTCAGTCTGCAGGCAGCTCCCAGGAGCCCCCGGCATGGATGTGACAATGTGCGTTTCAACGTACCAACGGCACAGGCACACAGCTCATTTTCACATATGGAAACTTATTAATATTCCAGATCCCAGAAAAGTTCATGTCTTTCCATGGAACCTACCACCATTTAATTTACCCAAGCATCATGAAAAGGTTACAGAAACTGAAATTCACTCAACACCATCCTGTGTCACTGGTACCAAGTGTGACTGAGACCACTTCTGACGCGGCCCCCAGGGCAGCTGAGGGTGTGGGTGCAGAGCAGGGCAGGGGTTCTCTCTGGACTCCTCCGGGACAAAGAGCTGGGGGCAGCACAGGAAGCGGCACAATGGGAGGTAGAGTCAACAACCCAGAAACTCCCACCCAAGAGACCATGCGGACGCACCTTGGGAAGGAAACCAGGAGAGCCGGCTGCAGAGTGGCTGCCGGTCCCGTTCTCACTCCCTCTGTCTCCCTCTCCATCTCTTCCACACACAAGTGCACACAGACACACCACACACACACAAGGAAAGCACATACACACATACCCCACAGAGACTCACTAGCCACAAACTCGCAGTCAACACACACACGGGTACGCCACACATATACATATACCCTCAGACTCACACGCTGAGATTCACACACCACATACACCACACACAGAAACACACACTGATACACACACTCTTCAACCCTACGTTCACGTCTTATCTTCCTGTGTCAGTCACAGCAGCAGAATGGAAACGCTCTCGCGTCTGAAGTCAACCCACACTGTCCCGATGTTTTGCAAATGTCTCTCCACCTAACTTCCATGGTTGTCAGAAGTCCCCCACATCTCTTCCAATGTGGCCGGAGCTCAGGAGGCCGGAGCCTGGGACCAGCACGAAGGTGTGGGCCCCACCAGTGTCTTCAGTGGGGAGGCACTGATCTGGATTATTTTTGTTTTTTTTTTATTGAGACGGAGTCTTGCTCTGTCACCCAGGCTGGAGTGCAGTGGCACAATCTCAGCTCACTGCAACCTCCACCTCCCAGGTTCAAGCGATTCTCCTGCCTCAGCCTCCTCAGTAGCTGGGATTACAGGCACGTGTCACCATGCCCAGCTAATTTTTGTATTTTTAGTAGAGACGGGGTTTAATCACGTTGGTCAGGCTGGTGTCAAACTCCTGACCTCGTGATCTGCCTGCGTTGGCCTCCTGAAGTGCTGGGATTACAGGCGTGAGCCACCATGCCGCCCGGCCGATTTGAATTATTTCCATTAACAAGTACTCAAAGTGAGCCAAAGATTAACATACATTTCTATAGACCAAACCAGAAGTAAAAAGCTTCTCACAAAGTCTGTTCTCTCCACATAATCTCTATTTCTCGACTGTTCTGAGCTCAAGTGTTCTGCAAATACACTAGACATAGAAGAGTCTGAGAGAAACCCCGGGACAGCCGCCAGGTACTGACCACTTGCAATATGCTGGAGACGCTCTCCCAGTCCGCCTCCGCGATGTTCGAGCCTCCGTCCACCATGCCCTGGTAGCCCTAGGGAAGAAAGGAGAATCTTTTAAAAACGAGATGAGCTTCACTAAGTGTGAAGTGATCCTTAAACTACATAAAATAGGAAAAATGACAGTGAACGTCAGTGCCTGAGCTCTGCTGCTCAGAAGACAGGGCAGTTCCCGCACTAGAGAGAGGCCGTGAACTGGGGGAAAGCCCTCACGTGGTCTCTAGGAACAGGAACGTCCGCCTAGACCCAGCCAAACAGGGCAAGGAGTCGTCAGGCAGGACTCCCGTGCCCAGTGTTTCCTGAGAGGTTGAAAGGCGCCACGTTCACCCCAAGTGTTTCTTACACCTCAGCACAAACGCACAGGCACACGGCGATATTGACCGTGGGACATACATGGAGCGTTTTGTCAGGGGCTCCGCCTGCCGAGGTAACCTGGGCCACTTTTGATGCACGGTAAATCTTGTTGAACAGCACAGCTGAATAATCACTGCCTACCTTACTCTCCACGAGTGACTGCACTGCATTAGGGAATCAGATATCAACATGTGAGGACATACTGGAAGAAGCAGCCCAAGAAAAATTAATTACCCCTTTCTTCTTTTCTTTTGAGACAGAGTTTCACTCTTGTTGCCCAGGCTGGAGTGCAACGGCACAATCTCAGCTCACTGCAAACTCTGCCTCCCAGGTTCAAGCAATTCTCCTGCCTCAGCCTCCTGAGTAGCTGGGACTACAGGCATGCACCACCACGCCTGGCCAATTTTGTATTTTTAGTAGAAATGGGGTTTCTCCATGTTGGCCAGGCTGGTCTCAAACTCCCAACTTCAGGTGATCCACCCTCTGGCCTCCTAAAGTGCTGGGATGACAGGCGTGAGCCGCCGTGCTCAGCTGGACAATGACCTTTCACTTGTAAATGCATCCCATCTTTTCCTCCTTAGAATACACAAGATGAGGAAATGCAGCAGTGCGCACACCACCTTCATCTACAGAGCTCTTTTCACAGCATTTAACCTGGCAAAAGAGGAGCTACTCAGCATTTAGAAACGTTCATAATAGATTATCGGTGCATTCATAACCCCTCCTTAGTGAAGGTCAAGAGGACAGAAAAAAGAAAGAAAGGTTTTTAAGAATGAAGTGACCCATACATTATGGAGCTCTGTATATGAATTAATCAATAGTTCAGGCACACTGATGGCCAATTTGTACACTTATAAATGTAAATTTCCATCAAAATTATTATATATACATGTGTGCTTTTTTTTTTTTTTGAGACAGAGTCTTGATCTGTTGTCCTGGCTAGAGCGCAACAGCTCGATCTCAGCTCACTACAACCTACATCTTTCAGGTTCAATCGATTCTCCTGCCTCAGCTTCCAGAGAAGCTGGGATTACAGGCATGCACCACCACAACTGGCTATTTTTGTGTTTTCTTTTGTATTTTTAGTAGAGACAGGGTTTCACCAAGTTGTCCAGGCTTGTTTCTAAGTCCTGACCTCAAGTGATCTGCCCACCTGGGCCTCCCAAAGTGCTGGGATTACAGGCGTGAGTCACCGCGCCTGGCTCTATGTACGTTTATAATCTAGAGTCATATATATAAGAAACAAGAAAGGAAGAAACAGTCTGGGATGCAATAGGCATGCACCGCCTTTTCTGAAATGAACAGAGCAGGTTCATTTCAGTGCTGGCAGCCCCATCGGCACCTCCTGAGGACCCCCAGGCCCCAGCCACTCACTCACACCACCAGTTCCCCCACCACCATGGCAAAGCAACAGAACATCTTCCAAACACACTCCAGGCCTACTCCAGGGATCAATTATTATTATCTCCCTCACTCTGAAAACAGATTTCCCATGAAGTGCAGATGAGCTCAGTGTAGCTGTGCCCTGGGACGGCAAGGGTTAAGCATGTGTGAGGTTGGATGCAGGCCTCTCCTCTGCACAGGGTGCCCTGGGAAGCACCCTTTATGTTCTGTCCTGCTACGTGTGCTCTGTCCAAAGATGCCCCAGGTACAGGCAGCCATGGGCAAAGCCATGAGTGACTCCTGGAGGCCACAGTCCTTAAAATACTAGAATACAGTAGGTAGGTAGGTGGGTGGTAGATACGTAAATAAAGTGATAACCTAGGCTGGGCACAGTGGCTCACACCTGTGATCCCAGCACTTTGGGAGGCCGAGGTGGTGGATCACCTGAGGTCAGAAGTTCAAGACCAGCCCAACCAACATGGAGAAACCCCATCTCTACTAAAAATACAAAATTAGCTGGGCATGGTGGTGCATGCCTGTAATCACAGCTATTTGGGAGGCTGAGGCAGGAGAACTGCTTGAACCCAGGAGGTGGAGGTTGTGGTGAACCAAGATCATGCCATCGCACTCCAGCCTGGGCAACAAGAGTGAAACTCCTTCTCCCCCCGCCAAAAAAAAAAAAAAAAAAAAGAAAAAAAAAAGAAAAAGAGAGAGAACCCAGCCTTGGGGTTACATTTTTAGTGATCTCTACCACCGCAAGCTCCTAGGTTTCTAAGAATTCTGCTTCATTCTGCGTGCACTGCAGAGCACTCCATTCTTCAGGTCTGGGAGCAACAAACGCCATCTGTGGCGGTCCTGACTCTCCAGCTCCACTTTGGTGAAGCGTGCGGGGCAAGGAAGCCAGGAAGCAGGCGCGTGGCCAAGGCAGAGTCGGAGGCCGCAGCACTGTGCCGAAACGGCCCTTCTCAGATGGGTGACATCCCATCCTCCAAGCTTACATCTGAGGAGGAGAGAAAAGATGACCCATGCTGAGGCCTGACCCTGGGCAGAAACCAGGAGCTCCCTGGGTGGAGCAGGATGTACAGGAGCCGTAACCCTGGGCTCTGACAAGACTGAAAACAGAGGGCTGCTAGATTCCCACACCCGGAGCCGCTGTGTTCCTTTCTGTGCAGGCAGCTGTTTGGCAAATAAAGAGATGGAGGGGAAGGGGCCCGCCCCGACACCACCCTGCTGCAGACTACATGCCACGGCTGCTGCAGCAGCGTCCCGAGGCTGTCTCAGGCCGGGGGTCAACCCTGCACCCCAAACAGCGTGAGCTTTCAGACCTTTCCTGGAGTACATGCTATCCTGGATCACGTCACCCCCACCCAGCATTTTACTACTTAATATGCCGTAGTGGGAACCACACAATTTCCTTTCCCTGCATGATTTCACAGAATTTAAATACGGGTCTCACCAAACCTTGAAACGAATCCCCTTGCTTCTAGAGTAATGAGAAAACCGCTCTGCAAACCATAACATTTTGAAAAGTAAAATGTTCTCTAAAAATAATTTCATTATTTTGTGTTACATAGATGCATATGGCAAAGAAAGCAATTAAAACATAAAAAGGGAGGACTTTCGGAGTGCTGCCTCCAAAGCGCTCTCCAGGAGGACTTTCGGAGTGCTGCCTCCAAAGCGCTCTCCAGGGCGCGCATGAGCTAAGTTGCTAGGAAATGACTCATTCTTTAATTTGCAAAGTCACGGTGCCCACGGAACATTTGAAAAGTTAACTACCGACTCCAGTTCTAAGCTGTCTTTCACTAACAAGGAATATATCACTAAATTAGGAAGACTAATTTTACCCAAACCTACTACAACGCAGAAATTCAGATGAGGTTTCGCTATTGAAGTCTTCTTAGAAGGCTGAATTACGTATCTTACTACAGCCAAAGCATGAACATTTCCTCAAACACCCTTTTGGAATTTGCTTTCTAAGCCAGTTTGATGACTCACATAAGAAAAACAGAGCATAAAACCTTTAACACTATACTCAGTTTTTGTTTGTTTGTTTGTTTGTTTTGACTCAAGTAACATTCTCTGTCTTGTTGAGCCTGACTCACAAGATGAACCTTAAAGCTCCCTGCTGGCTGCGCTGGATCCATTGCTGGGCAGGTTTTTTGAAGTCTAAGAACATGCCACAGGCTCTGAAGTCATTTTAACTCATTAAAAATTGTTTTGAGCAGTGTCAAAATAAGCATAGCCTTCTGACCATGCAGGAGATAGTTCTATATGCAGAGGTGATTTTCCCAGAAGTTTTAGGCATTCGTTGAATCCATCGTAAATGAAGTAAGCTAGTTCACCTATGGGTGGCTTTCTCTTCTGTGACATCTCATATGCATTTTTTTTTTAAAGTAAAAGACAAAGGGAAATTACAGTCTTGGGTTGCAGCAAAGTCGGCTTTTTCTTTCAGAATGCTTGTTCCATGGGCCCACGTCTTCTCAACTGGATGATGTTTTTTCCAGTCTGATTTCCTGAATTCTTCACTCAACTTTTCCAGTCTGATTTCCTGAATTCTTCACTCAACTAACCTCAAATGCTGAGCATTTCAACTACCAGAAGAAAACTAGCTGCTGGAGATAACAGACTTTAAAAGCATCTTCCAGATAGTGTTATCACCAGCTTCCTGCAGATGTAGTTTCTGCATTTAGAGATTTATTTATGGGCTTTGCTGCATCTGAGTAAATCCTTTTTGTCTCCTACAGAATCAAGCTTTCTCTAGCTTACTCCTTTTCCCTCTCCCACAGAACCTAAAGCTATAGTATTCCTTCATAAATTAAAGCATTTCACTTTTAGAACTCAGAGCGTGCATGCAGAGGAGTCAGCTCTGAACAGCTACCTAGGCTCAGACTCAGGAAGCACCAGCATTCAGAGCTAGGTGAGCATCAAAGAGAGTCGAGAGGAAGTTCCCTATGCCGGTGGTTTTCAAAGGCCAGGAATCGTGGCTTTATCCTGTCCATAGGAAATTCGAGGCAGAGCTTGAGATTAAACCACCCTGAGCCAACACACACCTCAACCCCTGCCTACCTCCCACCAAGGCTCCAAAGGAATGCTCTCATCCAGAGAACCTTGCAATCACACCCCGAAAGCATACTTGCTGACTTCATTGCTATAGAAAACGTCTGCAGAGCAGCCTAAGGATTTGTTCCTGGGAGATTCTGTCAACTTTAAATTCTAAAATAGGTCAGAACATGACACAGCATCGTGTAGTCCTGCACCTCCTTTGGAAGACCAACAATACAACGAACGACATGATGCA